AATGCAGACTCGGATCACTACCTAGTGGAAAGTAGAATAAGAGCCAGAATCTCAAACATTAAAAAAGAAAGGGGATCCAAAATTGAAAAATATGCAATTAAAAACTTAGCAGACAGCAGCAAAAAGGCAAAATACAAAGAATATATAACTAGAAAATAGACAAAAGCATGAGGATATGAACAGAGAATGGAAACCGTCTAAATACATTATACAAGACGCGGCCAAAGAGACCCTGGGTCTACAAAACAGTTCAAATCTACTGAAGGACAATGGTTTGATCAAGAGTGTCGTAACATAACAGAGAGAAAAAATATTGCATATCAACGACTACAACAACGACATAGGAGGGAAGATAAAAAAAATACATCGCATAAAGAAAAGAGAACAGATAGAAAAAGAACTTCAAGAAATGAAAGAGCTAAATAAACCATCAGAAACCAGAAAATTCTACCAAAAACTTAACAAAAGTAGAAAAGAATTTAAACCAAGAACAATGATGTGCAGAGACAAAGAAGGGGATATAGTAACTCAACAGAGTGAAATATTACAAAGATAAACAGAATTCTTCAAAGAAGAGTTTGAAAAAAACGAAGATCCACTATATGATGGAATTATACTGGATCAAACGGATACCAGAGAAACAACCCCCCCTTTAGTAGCTGAAATGCAAGAAGCAGTTACCAGACTGAAAAACAACAAGTCACCTGGATTAGACAACGTTAGCGTAGAATTAATAAAGAAAGGCGAAGACTCCCTATTGAATGCGATACGCGAACTAATAGTGAACATATGGAATAATAAACAACTGCCACAAGACTGGAAGAATTGGAGATCAGCTCCAATGTAAAAACTACCGGGTAATAACGCTACTAACTGTGGAATATAATATACTGTCAAATATTGTGTATGACCGATTGAGACCATATGCGGAACAAATAGTTGGGGGATATCAATGTGGTTTCTGCAGGCAGAAGTCCACAATAGATCAGATCTTCGTCTTTAGGCAAATCTTGGAAAAGACTAGTGAATTTAATATAGACACACACCATCTTTTCATTGATTTTGAGAGAGCCTATGACAGCATCTATTGAGAATTTCTGATCCATGCACTGAAAGAGTTTAATATTTCAATTTAACTCATTAATATAGTAAAAGAAACACTTAAAGTACAAAGCAAAATTCGATTTCAAAACGCAATAACAGATATAATCCATGTAAAAACGAGCCTACGACAGGAAGATGCTCTATCCTATATTCTATTAAACATTACATTAGAGAAAACAATTGGAGAGTCAAAAGTCAACACCAGAGGAACAATAATAACAATGCAATAGAAAGAGCGGCACAAAACAGTGGCCTAATCATTAATGAAATAAAAACCAAATACGTGAAGGCCAGCAAATCGACATGCCAAAAAAAACCTACAGAATCTGACAATAGGAGACTATAACATCGAGAGCGTGAAAATTTTTACATATCTAGGTTCACTAGTTACCGCTGATAACAATATCAATGAAGAAGTTAAGAGAAGCTAGGGTTCTAAAGAAATGTCAAAAAATATTAAAATAATATATTATTCAATATCATATTCACCTATACGTATTTATAAAAAGATAGTTAATTAAAAAAGGTAAAAAAACGGACGTGGCAGTCCAGTGGGACTGCCGGTAGAAGTTATACTTCTATACACACGTTCGCCGTTACAAATTTATATGGTAGTCAATCTGCACAAACATTACATATGTAATGCTATAGGTAAGAGAGAGCAGAAAGAGAAAAATAATTAGTTATATAGGTATATTGTGTATCGTATGCTGTACATAAACATTTGACCTGTAATAGAAGTATAGTAAAGTAAGGATTGTATCAATGTTTCCATGAAAATATATATTTTTGTTTTCATATATGTATAAAATTAGTTGAATGCAAAAACATTTTTTTACACATACTCTATAGTAAAATTCATTGTTTATTTTGTTATTAATATAAAATTACAATACAATAAATACAATGCAACATAATTCAATATAATAATACAATATAAATTAAAATGCAATATTCATAAGTATTTAAAACTGCCAATATACATAACTTACTTTACGAAGATAAAAATAAAAAACCAACAACTTGGATTATGTTGTAAAGTTTCAATGTATTTTAAAATTTAGCATTTTTGCATATATATTACGTATATTTAATAAGATTAACGTGGGGTTTTTAAATATTTCAAAAACAAAAAAGAAAAATTCATATTGGGATTCTAACTCACAACCACCAGCATATGAACCAAACACATAAAAGATTAGCCAATTAGACATTACACTAACGCATTTCAAAATTGACAGTTCTCGGTCAAACAGTAAATATTTTGAAACACAAAAGCCTAAAATAATTATAAACTTTTAATAAATAATACAAAACATATCAGATAAACAATAATATTCTGTCTCACTCTTACTCATTATCTTACATATGTAATGTTTTCACAGATTCACTCACAAGGAAATTTCCAACGCCGACCATGCGTATAGAAGTATAACTTCAAAAATATTTAAAAATATACAAAAATATATATTTATATATCGGGTCTGGTGAACCCGGCTCTATCAAATTTGTATGCAAAAAAGGCGCTACCACCGCGTGTTTAAGCAATTTTGTTATATTATTGTAGATGATTAACATTTTAAACCCCATGTGTATTAAATCGGATACACAAAAAAAAACTTCACATGAACCCGTGCGTATATCTAATACACACTAATTTCCAATGTTTGAAGATCTGTGTTCTTCAGCTAAGCGCACCAACTGTGCATTTATATGGATGTTTCAGTAGACTTAGGCTGTGGCGACTACATTTTAAGTTCAGTTTTAAATTTGGGGAAATAATTTGGCCACAGTGGTACATAATATTAATGTATTAGTTCATAATATTAATTCTCTTAATTTTTCAAATAATGAACTATGCTCCGAAAATAAGCGCCCTTTTTAAGTTAAGTAGTTTAGTAGTTAAATAGAAATTTTTAAACCGTTTATACTAAATGGGAGTATGTTTGCATCAATGAGTCAATGGTTCCATTTCGTGGAAGGTTATAATTTTTACAGTATATACCAGGCAAACGACACAAATACGAAAAAAAAAATAATTTAAGTTGTGTGAATAAGGAGAATATACATTCAACAAAAAAATCTACGATGGAAAGTAAAGTGGACCAACTGAGCAGCCTGTTTCCAGCCACGTTGTAATGGAGTTGATACAACTTCTTTTTAAAAGTGATAGAACATTATTAACGCACAACTACTATATACGCCTTGGTTTAGCCCATTTACTGAACGATAATATTATTCATTTGATAGGAATGCTGCGAAAATAGAAAATAATATTTTAAAAGTGATTCTTGAAAAACAAAACGATCAAGAGGGGACATTATAACTCTTGAAAGCAAAACAAAAGTTGCTGGTAAATGGTTGTCAACCCATAAATGGGTTGACCAACGAGAAGTTTGTTTTTTAACAACCAAATCTTGTTCAGAAATGATTACAGTACAGACACGGACAGGACCAAAAGGAAAGCAAATACAACAGTGGAATATAATTCCGTTAAGTCTTATATCGATGTTTCGGATCAGAGATCAGCTTACAGTAATCCTGTCCGTAGATCAATCAAATGGTATCGTAAAGTAGGTAATGAATTACTTATCAGTACCGCTTATGTAAACGCACTAATCCTTTTTAATGCAATTTTGAACACTAAAATGGACATAACGACGTTCGGGGAAAACCTTGTTGCAGAAATGTGCCTGAAACATGAACACGCAACAGTACGGGAGATGTCACATAAACTCGAAGAATACGATAAATGAGGGCGTTGTGTTGTATGCTACAGCCACTTTTCTGAGAGGTGCAGAAGAGCTCATGTAACCAAGAATTCTAAGCAGTGTAATACCAGGTGTACAAGTTGTCTTGACAAAAAGTTCATGTGTTCAAATTGTTTTTATAGGATACATAATGTTACCCTAAAATAGTAGCTTGCTTTATTCAAACATTAATGTGTAATACTTTTAATAAAAACCTGCGTATCAATTTTAATACACCTAGGTTATTTGGTTTTTAATCGGTATTTTCGTGCCTTGTGAACTGTGTGTATTGAATTTGAACACAACCTACATATCCCATTGAATAATAAGGTATGGCAATATTTTAAATCACTATTATATAGTGTAACATTTTCAGCCGCAACAATAAAAAAAATATCTCGGGGTGAGTGGATAATTTTTTGAAATAGGCCCTGAGAGTTAGAGAGTCAAATTTTGTATTTCCATAACGTGCGTCTATGGGATCCTTCGTGTGTGTGATTTAAAGTTTGTGTTATTTAAATATAATTTTTTTACGAGTAATATCTAAGAATACTAAGTCGACAAATTAAAAAAAAAAAATGAGTTCTCAATTCGAATGAAAACAATAAAATTTAATAAATTAAATTTTTTTTCTTTGTCACGGTCATTCATTAGTTTTTATCGAACTTTATATAAATTATTAATTTCCGCATCAGCAATCAATTAACAAAACTATATGCAAAATAAGTACAGTAGAAAAAATGTTTATAAATAATCGAATCTAATGCATATGGATATATTAAGGACTGAATAAAATTAAATGTTTAACAATCGAAAAACAAAACAAAACTAGAAAAAAATTGGAAATGTTTAATAATAAATGTTAAGTAGTTCGCAAAATGTCACGAGAAATAACTCCATGATCATACAAAAAGTAATTTAGTTTTTGGACGATATTGCTTAAGGCAAACGTACAAAACAACTAAATCATATGAGCTGCTTTAAGTAGCGCTCAGTGCTGTGAAATAGACATATACACTAAATAAAGATTTTAACCGTTAATAAATTTAAGTTAAGTAACAACTATTTCATTTAGGTGCTATATTGAACTTAAAAAAGAAAAAAAAAATAAAACCAAAATTTTATACAAAAATAAACAAAACACACCTGAAATCTTAGTTCGCCCACCGGAGGTTTAGCAAATGGTATTCCGTTAAATCCGCTAAATTTTCTATTATTTCGAGTTTTTAAAAAGGCTCCCTGTAGTATTCCATCACTAATCGTAACCTGTGGGTAATCACTACATACCACAGAACACACCAAAACACTTACAAAAAAACCGACTGTCCTAGAGCTCACCATTTTATCGACTTTCGTGGTTTAAGCTAGTAACACTGTTTTATAAAATATTTTATAGATAAGATTGACCAGTAGCGGAGCAAAAAAGTTGGACAGGTGTAGCACGAAATCTTTGTGGTTGCATTTTGTTGTAATTTAGTTGATTCTGATTGTTGATTTTAATTATTTATTCTATTTCAGTTTGATAAAAAAATTTTTAATATAATGTCGGAACAAACGAATTTTTGTTTCATGGTATAATCGCATTACTGTTATTTTTTTTAAATCCAATAATTATTAATCTTTTGAAATAAAGTAAATATTCTATTAAAAACTATATATGTGTGGCTTGGTACAAGAAGTGCCTAAGTTAAAATTTGATGTTTTTTAATAAGGCCAAATTTGTCTTCCTTAAAATTGTGTTGCACAAATAGTTTATTTAAAATATTTTTGACATTGATCATGAGATTTTGTTGAGATAATAAATAAGTTTATGAGATGTAGTTAAAAATTTAACAAAAATTCTTCTTTTTTGTATTTTTGAGAGACATAATCGTTTCTTGAAATAAAAATTTTAGGTAAATTATTAATTGTGTATTGACATAGGCAATTTAATACAAATTATCTGTGATACATATCTCCTTAAAAATAAAGATGAGCAAGTAAATTCCTGGTGTTTACATATCATCTTCATATACGCTCTCGTCAGGTAAATATTGACCATCTATAGCTTGGGCTAGTGCTGGTCTAGCAAAAATACATTAATAAAAGTACCTGCTTGATACAGAAATGTAAGGCATTAAGTCCTTGAGGTCTTTAATTTTTTTATCTGACAATGGAATTCTCTGATTGGTTAGTGGGGTTAACGTAACGTCGCATGGACTACTGCTTGATGCAAGCCCAGGCAGTTGAGCTGAACATGTAGCACATGTTGCTTTATTTCTTGATGAATCCATTACCTTAAAATAGTCTGAATCAAAAGAAGTTTTATAAGAAAGTTTTGAAAGTACATCTGTGCGATACTGTAATCATCTTATGTGAAGTGACTTTTTAGAATTTGTGAGAAATTTAGGAAATCTTTTTGTTTTATTTCTATAACTTCAATAGAAAGATTTCTCGAAACCATTCTAATTAAGTTCGCCCAGTCTCTGGGTACTTCTATTTTGACAGTTGTATATTTCTTAATTTTTTCAATAGCTGCATGGATCGTATCCGCTTCTTGATGAGTATGCCACGGTTCAAGAAATGTATGATTGATCATAAGATCTCTTCCATTTCTGTTAAAATCTTCTATCAAAAAGACAACATAATAGCAACATATATATTTCTTGTTTGTCCTTAACACCAGTCACTATACATGTTAATTTCATTAATATTTGCCGGTAAGGAAAATATATATATATATATATATATATATATATATATATATATATGTATATATATATATATATATATATGTATATATATATATATATATATGAAAGATTAAATATATATATATATATATATATATATATACATATGAAAGATTAAATCTTTCACATTTCGCATAGCACAAAGGATACAGAAAACGATATTATCATATCTTTTCGTTCACGGTCACCAAAGCAGGTGGCGCCTTTGTAAGCTAACTACGTAGTAGTAAAGTTCTGGGAGACATTCGTTTTACTTTCCGAGTTTTAATTTGTATAAGCTCAAGTGTCTGACGATGGCTGGGATAGGCCGAAATGATCATAACACTTTAGTGATACCAATTCGAGCACGGGAAGTTTAACAAATTTGTCTCCTAGGCCATATAGTTGGCCATTTAATATATATATATATATATATATATATATATATATATATATATATATATATATATGTCACTCGATACTGAGGAGTAGGCAGATTGAGACCGCAGTGCCGAGAGACAGTTCTTGTATTTATAATACAGAACACGATACTGGTACGTGTCGAGTGAGGGGAGTAGGCAGATTGAGACCCCGAACTCGAACCGAACCGTATCCCTCTTGATAATTGCTCCAAAACGGGAGCCGAAACGCCGAGCATTAAATTCTCAACGCGGTACTTCCCGAGAACCTAGTGATTTTCATATATATATATATATATATATATATATATATATATATATATATAATATATATATATATATATATATATATATTGTCTCAAACAGAATGCTATTTCTTGTGCTCCTCAAGCGCCTATACGTAACAAACGGCTTGTTTATTTTTATTTACGGAACTGTAGATAGTGAGGTTTATAGTCCTCACTATCTACAGTTGCAATCCTAGTAGAAGCTCATAATGATCTTTTATAAAATGAAATATTGTTTTGTAGCATGGGTATAGCTAAGCATTTTTCTAAATCAAATGACAAAAATGCAACACTTTCAGAATTACAGCTTCGAAATTTATCATTTTTTTTTCTCCTTGTATGCTTGATCTGCCATGGCAAGATGTTCTGGCTATAATTCTGTTTATGAACTGCTTGTTTTTGCAAATCAGAAATTGAATCAATTAATGAATTATACCGATAGCACTTTGCATAATAACAATATTTTTCTATAAAATGATTCTACTTCAGGTGTTATATTATGGGAACTACAATGATCTTTGTACAGCTGATATATTTTCGAAATATTTAAATCTTCAGACCAATGTTTTTTTTAGTATGTGATCTTGAATGATGACTTACATAAGAAGAAAAACTTTTAATATGGTCTTCTATTGTCGTAATTTTACGATTTGTAGATTGTCTTTACTACAATCAGACCGTTTGTGTTAAAGTGAACCAAGAGGTTTCAGCTAAAGTTTCTATTAAGTGTGGTGTCAGACAGGGATGTGTTATGTCACCGATGTTGTTTAATGCCTACACTAAAGCAGTTTTTGAAATAGCGTTAAATAATCGCCGCGAAGGTGTTAAGATCGGTGGTGAAATTATTAATAACATCAGATACTTCGATGATACCGCAATAATGGCAGAGAATCTAGAAGATCTTCAAACCCTGTTGAATGCTGTAAACAACGAATGCACTGGAAAGGACTTAACAATCAACGCAAAAAAAGAAAAATGGATGGTGGTCAGAAAAATTAATATCAAAGACTCAGTACTAAGATTAGATAACAAAATCCTGGAAAGGGTGGAACACTTTAGATATCTCGGTAACTGAATTGACTGCAGGGTTGAAAGTGGCGAGGAAATTTTGACCAGAATAGAACTCGCGCGGAAAAACTTTATTAACTGGCGTTCTGTATTATGCAGTAGAAGTCTAACGTTGACCACACGTCTAAGAGTATTGAAGTGCTACGTCTGGTCCACTTTGTTCTATGGATGTGAGACTTGGACAACAAAAATAAAAAATCTTAACAAACTAGAAGCGTTTGAGTTACGGTGTTACTGTCGCATGCTCAGAATCCCGTGGACGATCCATATCTAACGAATGTGTGCTAGAGACCGTGCACAAAGAGCGAGCATTGATCAGCATCATCAAAATGAGAAAGGTCCAATACTTCGGTCATATAATGAGAGGACCTAAATATCGCTTACTCCGGTTAATCATTCAGAGCAAAATCGAAGGAAAACGTTGGGCACGTTACCCGTGCAAAAATCATACATTTAAACAAGAAATGACTGTTACGACATAGGCAGTTCTGACATTAAAAATTTAAATCTCGATAATGCCAAGTCGACTTATGCATTTTTTGTACGAATTTTCACTTTCACCAGAAAACCTATGTCTAATGTGATTTATAAGGTTAGATAGACTTAGGCATGTCTTGCACTGAAACGGTTGTGGGTTTTAAGACACTTAGACCAAAAATATCAAAAGTGCAAAAAAGTGACTTAGGAACTTCTTGTACCATGCAATAGATATATCGAACTATATATGCATCATTATATGATGATGCTATTGAGATGATGAGATACCTGCTATTGAAATACTTGAAAAAACGCAAGGAAAGAAGTTATAGAGAACTGATAGTGGTCAAACGAAGATCAAGAAAAAATAAAAGAGGAGAGAAAATTATAAAAGCAGTGGCAAGATAATAGGTTGGACACAGATCTTCATACCTATACCATTTATACGGCCATCAAAACGGAAGCGACACTAGCAATAGCAAGGGCTAAAGTTTCTTCTTCTTCATCTTCTTTTTGTGTAGAAATGACTCTGTCTGTTTTTCAATGTGCCTCCATTAAGTTGTCGTTACATCGTTTTCGTGGTCTTTTCTCTGATCCTCATCCTATTGGGAAACCCTCTCTCGCAGTCTTTAGAGAAGGTAGTAATATAGAAGCTCATTTTGTTTTTCCTGCGTTATTTTTTTAGTTTGTTGTGGATCGACAAAAATTAAACATCAACTTGTTGTGTGATTATTAATTGATTACATTTTTTTAATAAAGTGGTTATATACTTTTTAGGACACTGATGATGGAACATGGATTCCGAAAACGTTTTGTGATACAGTCCGATGGGGTTTTTAAATTATATACCTTTTATAAAGGATTTTAATAATTTTTTTGTGATTACATTTATTAAGAAAATTAACATTCTAAAATCAATTTTAAAAAGAAATACAAAATGCTAAAAAGTGCAATTTTTGCTCGCAGTTGTATCTTTTTTTGAATTGGTTGCTCTCCCCAAACAATTGTTTGGACCACTAGATGAGCTAGAATCAACGCTGTTACCCCCTTCTTAAGACGATCTTTCTTCTTAGAGAATCAGAGATTCTTGTGCTTTTGATCTTCTTTTTTTTTTGTCCGCTTTGTTAAGAGGTGTCTTCGCCAACCCAACTTGCTAAGCAGAAGTGCTAGGTGAAGGAATCTGCTTTTGGTCAAGATCAGAATTTAATTATGTAACTTTTCGTTTTTTCGTAAATACCTCTAATTCACTTTTGTAGTAGAAGTAAACTGGTAATAACAGCCTCAAAAGAAGCTTTGCGACCTCTATTAGACACTTTTCTTTTTGGTGGTTTAGAGACCGGAGTAATATCAGTAGGCAAAATTAATTCTGGTGTTGCACACGTTGAC